TGTGTTTTCATGTTCTTTGGATAAATACCCAGCAGTGGAATAACTGAATCGTATGCTAGTTCTATTCTTAGTTTTTTGAAGAATCTCCATACTGTTTTCCATAGTGGCTACTCCAGTTTGCACTCCCACCGGCAGTGTACGAGAGTTCCCTTTTCTTATATGTAGATCTATTTCTGAATTCTTCATTCTGTTCCATTGATCTGTAGGTCTACCCTTCTGCCAATATCACATTCTTTTGATCCCTATAGCTATATAGTAACTTTTTAAATCAGGAAGTGTAAGTCATCCAACTTTGAATTGTTTAGCAGTTCTAAGTCCTTTTCTTTTCCAAATAATTTTAGAATCAGATTTACAGAAAAAGCCAGCTGAGATTTTGGTTGGGATTGTGTTGAATCTATAGGTCAGTTTAGAGAAAACGAAAATCTTAACAGTATTGAGTCTTCCGATTAAAAATCATGGTCTATATTTTAATTTATTTTGGCCTTTTTAATGTTCTTTCAGTAACATTTTGTGGTTTTTGAAGTACAGGTTTACATGTATTTTGTTTAATTTATTCCTAAGTATTTCCTGTTTGGGATGCTATTATAAATGGAATTTAAAATTTTTCAACTTCCAGTTTTTTGTTGCTAGTATATAGAAATGTAACTAATTTTCATATGTTGACTCCATATCTTTAGAACATTCTAAACTTGCTTTTAAGTTTTAAGAGCTGTTTTGTAAATTCCTTAGGAGTTTTTATATGTTATGTGTACATAATGAGGATTTTCTTTCTTTCTTTCCAATCTGCATGCTTATTTCTTTTTCTTGCCTGATTGCATTGGCTAGGACCTCCAGTACAACCATGAATAAGTAGTAAGAGTGGGCAATTGTTCTTTCCTTGGGGGTTATTCTGTGTAGTTTCTTGGGGTTTTCAACCGTGCATGCCTAGATTTGTATTTGGCAAAAGACTCCAGGGGATCTCTAGATTTTTGGAGCTCTCTCTCAGTTTAGCTCCTTCCTCTTGGGGAGTCTGCCCTGCAAATTCTAGTTGCCTTGTCTTCTCCAATCTCCCATCTCTGAATCTTAAACTCAGCAAGATTCTCAGGCTCTCTTTGGGTTAGCCCTCGTTGTCCTGCCATCTGGAGATTGTCTCCTGGCAGAAATCCTGGGTAACGGTAGGGATCCCCTTACTTTTTACCCTACTGTTAAAAATCACAGTCCCTTACTGTCCAGTGTCTGAAAACAGTTTTTTACTATGTTTTGTCTAGTATTCTAGTTGTTTCCAGCAGAAGGGTAATTCTGCACCTTGTTACTCCTTCATGGCTAGAAACAAAAGTAGACGTCATTTAATATTTAATCATCTACCAGTTATTATTATTATTGTTATTGTTGTTTTTAATTTTGAAAATGCTATGTGATTCAGCCAATTTAGTTCTGGTAAGAGAAGGGAGATTTTTACCAGTGGTTCTTAACCTGTCTCATATTAGGCTTATTTGAGAGCTCCTAAAACATAACCGTCTTCAGGCTGCTCCCCCTGAGATTCTGACATAAATGACATCTATATTTTTTAAAAGTTCTCAGGTGATTATAATGTGTAACAGAGGTTGAAAGCTACCAATTTATTCGCAAAACTCTACGGCACTTGCCAATATGCATTTCATGATATCCTGGTGTGACCAAAATGGCTTCCAGGTGTACTGAGTTACAGACTCCTCATCCCCCAGGACAGCCAGTCTTAGCCAGCGCCCTTGCCCAGCAGGAATCAGCATCCCATTTACCCCAGTGAGCCACACCAATGCCATCGTTTCCTGCGTGTGTCATGACTGGAGATCGTTGGAAGTTTAGAGGTTAATCATCCTTTAGTCTCATCTTCAGGTCCCAGCTCAAATGTCACAAATCCTGTCTCCAGCCCCTTGGGGACCATCCTTTATCCTTCCCACTCATTCCCATTTCCAAAGCTGTGTGCCTCTATGACAGCAGTATTAGAGTTTTAAAATCTGTTTCTACTTAAGATTTTAGTCCCTGGAGGATAGAGCTGGTTTAATATCTTCTTGTCCTTCCTATTGCCAAATAGAGTGCTTTGCACTTAATATTTATTGTATTTGGGTAGGTCATTTTGGAGCTTAATGTTTGAAAATGTTCTGTGGGCAGAAATATTTCCTATCCTATTGAAAATACATTCTGTCAAAGTATGTTTTCAGATTCTCCGTGAGTCAGTGGGTGGGAAAGGAATACATACCCCGTATTTTGTTTTACATTATCTCTAGCGGTACTTGAACTCATTTCGTCTCTCTCATCTTTTGTCACATGTAATTAATTTTGACTGTTAGAGAGAAGAATTTGGTGGTGCCTTTCTACCTTTTGGCATTTATACTTCAGAAATAAAATTGTTTGACCTTTGATGAATTTTGGTGTTTAGACCATTTCAGCTTTTAGGTCCAGGAATCTTTATTAGGTTAATTTATTTTTTTTTCAAATTAATAAATAAATAAACTGGGTGGAAAATGAATTTCCATAGGGAGAATGTGGAAGAAAATGCAAACGTTAATTGATGTTATCGTTGGCATAATCTATTTAGCCACATCACACCCAGCTTCGTATGTTTACTCATTTCTTTTTTTTACATTAATGTTGACATGACCAGGATCATTCTGTCCGATATGGTGCCTTTGCATGAATTAGAAAAAGTCACCCCTGCACCCCCCTACCCCCGAGTGTTATTTGGTAAACAGAGCCAAGGCTGGATTATAACCCGGCTCCCCTCCTGAGTTGGGATCCTTGTGCAGGGCACAACGTGTACAACCTGACATGGTGGCTCTATGATGACCTCTATACTTTTAGGACAGTTTGTTTCTGTACAGTTTAGCATATTTCCAGGAAGTAAAAACAGATTTAAAATATCCTCCACTGAGTAGAAGACGCACGAGTACTGATTGTGAAATTATGTTGGAGGGAGAAATTAAGGAGGACTTTCATAGAGTCATCTAAATCTCAATCACGTGGTTACTCCTGTGGAAAAAAGCCCAAAGGAAATCAAAGGTAGAAAATGAGGTCAATGATGTTTCCTTTTCATGACCCACACGACAAGGCAGGGATGAGTGGGCGTGTGGGATAGGAGTCGGACACTGAAAATCTTTGGCCGATGTCTTCCATTAACGGCTTGTTTGGGTTGGCGAAGACACCAAGGAAACACCACATTCGCCAAGTGAATGACGGTGCACCTGCTTAGCCTCTGGCCACAAAGAGAAAGGCAGAGGCTGTCAGCTGTCAGTGAGGAAGAGCCAGGGACAATGCCAGAAAGTGCCGGAGTAATGGTGGAAAGGACCACACACTGAGTTCCTTTGTGAACGAATTACTCTGAAATCTTGAATTTCCACCAACTGTGAAACTTCATTTTGGTGGGATAAGCATGTTGCTTTTCCATTGACACGTACTTGATGACTTTGGGGCCACTTCTCGAAATGCATGCAGGGAAGGAAATGAAATACTAACATTTACTGAATAGCCTCATTTGTTTTCACATACATTTCACATTATCTCATTTAAGACAATCCTGAAATGGTTCCATTTGACCTAAAGAGAGAATGTTGTAATTGGCAGAAAGGATGCTTTGGATATTTCTGTTAGAGATTTTGCTCAATGGAAGTTGTGAATTTCACTTAGGTTTCACTGTGTGTTTTCTAGTTGCAAATCATAGTGAGTGAAGGTTGGTCTTAAATGAATGACCTGATTCATTAGTGCATGTGTTCCTTTCTTTTTCCACCTACCTGGTTCTGTTTTCTTCCCCCTACTGATTATCTTGATCTGCTTTGCCCCTTCCTTCTTTGTTTTTGGTTAGCATCATGAAGTATCAGCAGCCTGCTGTTTCCAAACCCTTGAACATTGTTTATTGTAGAGTGCTCTCCTCCAATCAGGGCCTCATCTGAGGCACACATTGCTCCCTGGGATTCTTATTTAATGGGCTACAATCAAGGACATTAAGAAAGATCTATTCTGCAATTATTTTTGCCTTTTGTTTCTTAAAAGGGAAATATCTTCACAGAAAAATGGAAGTCTCATCCTCTCTTCTGGTTTTTTTTTTTTTTTTTGAGGAAGATTAACCCTGAGCTAACTGCTGCCAGTCCTCCTTTTTTTGCTGAGGAAGACTGGCCCTGAGCTAACATCTGTGCCCATCTTCCTCTACTTTATATGTGGGACACCTACCACAGCATGGCTTGCCAAGCGATGCCATGTCCGCTCCTGGGATCTGAACCGGCGAACCCTGGGCCACCAAAGTGGAACATGCGTACTTAACCACTGCGCCACTGGGCTGGCCCCCTCCTGGTTTATTATTCTTGTTAAAACTGAGTGTGGACTAATAGATTTTTATCTGGGGGACCGAGTGAACAATGTAAGGGAAGAATATTATGTTTGCTGTTGTGATGGATTTAATCTGCATTGCAGAACAGGATAATTATAAGGTGCTCCTCAGCTCACACAGGTGACAGAGGGCCCAGCCTGCAGGCCCATAGAAGCTCACATCTCAAGGGGCGCTTATTTGGGTCTTGGGGCTCGGCAGGTGCTGCACAGCCCTCCCTGGACCTGCACTGGCTGACTGTGTAGACCTATGTACAAAGAGGCCCAGTGCAACATCATCACTTTACGCTTCGTGATCTTGAAAACCCTGGGAAATTCAACATCAGGAGATTATTTAAAATACTCATCTCTGGTTCTCTGTTAAGGACAATCTGCCTTCATTTGTTTGCTTGTTTACATTTAGATCTTTGTGTATCCAAGCTTCAAAGGTGAGATCTCTGTTCTTGAGGAGCAAACAATTTAAATACAAAATGTGATAAAGTTATTGCGCAAACTACAGTAGGGAGGGCTGGGTTAATTGTCCCTTTTTATTTTCTGTAATTCTGGTGCTCTGACATCTTGGGGCCTTGCTGACTCTGGACAGACCGCTCTTCCCAGAGCCAGCCAATTCCTAGAGATAGGGAACCACTCGCCTGCCAGGGAGCACGCCTTTCATAGACACTCACCAATCCAGAGCCCACATGCCCCGCCACCTCCTCTACTGGGCGTTCACACTCGGGGCCAATGTTCCTCTGCCCTAAAAACTCCAAAGCCACGTACCAGACAACTGGAGCGAGCCCCTACAACCCAGAGCCTGCAGAAATTATTCAATCTACCCAATCCTAAACCTGCTTACCCAGCCTGGCCTTGCCTTTCCTGCAGAAATCACAATAAAGGCTCTTGCCCACATTTTCCCCTCACCCCCTCTGCCTCCTGCTGACCCTGATGCTTCCTCATGTGGTCCTATGTGGCATGGCCTGCTGCCTCCTCTGGGGAACTGTGAAGAACAAAGTATCTTTTCAATGGCTGTCATCTCCTGATCTGTTGGCCTCCCCCTACCTGAATCATAATAAAACCTGCATTTTTAAAACAAGGGGCTACACTGGCCCGGAAGCTTGGCGAATGCATCCCCCAGGAACTCCAGGGTTTGAAAGGACCTCGAATGTCAGGTGACTCTGATGTTACAACAGAGATGTGGGCAAGGGAACAGGGGAGATCCAGGCAGTGGGAACAGTATGTATGAAAGCAAAGATGTGCTGTATTCAGAGAGCAGTGAATGCATGCGATGGCATGAGTCTGGGATGATGGGAGAGGCAGGAGATGAAGATGGAAGGACTGGCTGTGTTTGATTGCCAAGGGCCTTGCTGGGCCCGCTGAGGAGCTGGGCTTTATCCTATCTGTTTGAAGAAGTAGCAGTGTGACTGGGTACATGTTATGGAGAGAGGACTCTGGCAGCCACAGGGAGGATGATAGCAAGCAGAGAAAAAGGTTGGAGCCGGGGAGACTAGTTCAAGGCTGTCGCAAAAGTTTGATTACAAATGTGAAAACAGGGGTCAATGAAAGTTAAAGATCAGACAGGCCAGTAGGAATAGAATCAGGAGTAGCATTTACGTCTCCACGCTCTTCCATATATTGTCTGATGCCACCGGAAACTGCCTGGCTTCAGAAAAGTCTTCCCCCAAAGGAAGGCGTGGGTAAGAATACTTGTAGGGCTACCACACGTGACTTGAGTGCCCTCTGATTGTTGCTATACTTGTCTCCAGTTGAATGTGGAGATTCATGACAACCATTTACATGAGTACAGTGATTCAGAAAGGTTGATATACAGATCTTCCTGGACCTGTGATGGGGTTACTTCCTGATGAACCCATCGTAAATTGAAAATATCTTGAGTCAAAAATGCATTTAATACACTTAACCTACCAAACAGCCTAGCTTAGCTTAGCCTACCTTAAACATGCTCAGAACACTTTATATTAGCCTACAGTTGGGCAAAATCATCTAACACAAAGCCGATTTTATAATAAAGTGTTGAATATCTCAAGTAATTTATTGAATACTGTACTGAAAGTGAGAAAGAGAATGGTTGTATTATATTCCCATATTCATTTGCTTTAGAAAAAGTTGTGGGTTTTTTGAGGTGAAAATCATCTTAGCTGCATATATTTGAGGAGCTCAATAATCCCTTCTTCAAAGCCAAAAACATTTCTCAGCCAACAGGAAAGGGTTTTGAGTGTCTTGAGGACAGATATGTAGAATTGTCTGCTTTTATAAGTATAGCATCAGATGCCATGACTGGAAAAAGAGAGATGGGTGAATAATGGTCATGGTTTGCCAATAGGAAAGGAAGCGTACACAACAGAATAATTTAATTCTCTATCAGCTTGTCTTATTCAAAAGTTTCCTGGCTGAAGAAGGGCTTATTAGGTTCTTTGCTGTAGTGCAGATAAAATGACATATTGGATTATTCACACCAATGCTGAAAATTGATTTTATTTCTCCTACTTGCTGAATTCCAGACTAATGAGATTTGACTGTTACACAATTTTAACTGTTGTCATGTAGCTTTGCAATTACCAGAGCTAGACTCTTTTATGAAAAACCAGCTGGTATACTGTTCTTTACTATTTGATATTTTTTTCTTTCTCTGCTCACTTTTCTTTAACCTTCTTCCAATTATCTTCTCTTTCTTGATCAATAGTATACGAAATAAGTGTAGGATATTTCCCCATAAGTAAAGATAGAAAAAAAAGAGACATTAATATTGATAATACAAATGTGATAGTATAAATGCTTTCCTTCTGAAAGATTAGTAAGAATTAGCCACTTTCTGTTTTAGATTGAATTAAGATAGCACAAGCCCCCCTGTAGTATTTTATGGTGTTTATGGACATCCTGTTTAAGTGCAAAAATTCACAACTGACAGTGGCACAGACATTTGAGATGCCCTAAGCAAAAGTTTCTTTGAGGCATTTTGACCTTTTATTAATTGCAGCATTGTCAGATCTCCAGCTTCCTCGTCAATTTCTCTCCCTGTCTCATTCCAGCTTGGTCTTGATAACAGTTGTGCATTTCTCTTTGGAGACCACAGCTGTGTGGATACTTTACTTTTGTCATGTTGTGTGGCTTGCTGACCTTCAGCAGAGCTAAGGTTTGACTAAGCAAAGAATTCTTCACACTGTCATAAGTCCTTGAAGCTGAAGACTGTGTTTTGAGATTCTTTCGGATACGTGCACCCTGCCTAGTACACAGTCCATGTGATGTGTGGTGAAGATGCGTGTCACAGTTGGTAATCCTGGTAGATTAGGGGGTGTTGCAGAGAGCCTGTGGTCCTCTGTGACTTAAGTGTTAATCTTGGCGTTGTGGGACTCTTAAGCCTTATGAGGCTACTCCAAGGTAATTATGTATTTGACAAAAAGTACTTTAAAGGTTAGTTTCTCAGACTGTCTGGTTGTATATTTTCATGAAGGAAATTAGTTTATATTTATGATTTGCATCCATAATGCAAAACCAAACAGGCTATGGACGAAGGGTACAGTGCCTTGCTCAATGCCTGGCACATAATCAGTCCTAAAGAAATATTTGTCGAATGGAAATAGGTTTGAAACATAATAGATTTGAAAATGGGAAAGCATCAGTCTTTTGAGTCAGTAAATCTAGTATCTTCATTCGTTGAAGTTTCTATGAATCTGTATCTGTTGGACAAGATTAACTCGTTGAGGAAACTCATCTGCAGTGATGTGTAAATTCAATAGACTGATGAGAGAACTGTAACTATCTAGATGCTGTAAGGAAACAGCCTACCATAAATGTTCCCGATGAAAAATCATCTGTAAACATGGGCATTTTAGCATTTTCTGAAAGCATATTGAAAAGAAGAAAGGGGCCACCACAATTACCAACATAAATACAAATATAAATAAAGAGTAGATGGTTAACATGGAAGCTATGTCTAGGGTCACAAAATTCTTGAAGAGAACTTTCAAGATCATCTAGTTCAACCCCATCATGGTAAAGATGAGGATACCGAGAGGCAGGTGATGGCTGCTTTCTTGGTGTTACTTAGGTAATTCAATCTTCCTTTCTCTTTGTATCTTTCTTGCTCTTTCATCACTTCATTTGCTCCATAGATATTTTTTAAATGCCTGCTCTGTGGTAATCACTGTCCAATGTATTAAAGAAATGAAAAACATGGACAATTTTTCTATCATACCAAGAATCTAGAAAAAGGGGAATTGGAGAGGAAGAATTTAATTATGATAATTATTTAGTGCTTTAAACTTTCTAAGTATTTTTGCATAACTTATTCTATTTCACCATGATAAACAACTTTTGGCTATGAGCACTGAACTTTCGATATTGCTTTAGGTGTGACGAGGAGAGAGTCTTCTCTGAATGACAGATCCGTGTTAGTGAGCTCATTCTGCGTAAGATAATCTAAGTACCATCACTGATCTGGCTCACCAAATAGTATTTGAAACCATGTGAGACCCATGGAATTTAATACATATTTACTTTCTGGTACCAACCAGACTTGTGAAAATTGGGCAGCATGAGAGCTAATCCTCTGTGAATCTGTTGACCATTGATGACTGAAAAACTTTAACTGTCAGGGATTATCTCTAACAGTGGTCTCCAAGGCAGTTATCACAATGCGCATTACCCAGATAGGCAAACAATGGCCGACCACACCCATAAGGAAGGCCAACTTTACTCCCTTTGGGTACTTAAATATTTAGCTTACTCACTGCCCAAATGCCTTCTTTGACTGGTCATGGAGTCTCAGGTTTATAGGGTGTCAGGGAGTGATATGCAGCTCATTGTTGCATAAACAATGATCAAATGATGTAATTATAACCCAGTTAGAGATGTTCCTCATCAGTGACTACAGCCAATGGTAAATGTTAGCTGAGGATTAACTCCCCAATTGCTTGAACAGGGGAGCTTGACCAGGAGCAGCAGATGATGGCATAAAGTGTTTGCTGATCTCCAAGACTCCTATGACTATAGTTTGAAGGAACTTACAACTTAGCGGGAGCAGACAAGTAAATTTAATGCATGGAGAGTTTTTGTTTAAAGGAAGGTCACTTCCCATAGCCTGTGGATTGAGGAGAAGATGCTGAGAAGACTTTCTGAAGGGTCAAACTGCATCTTAGTCCCGAATGATGCATGAGAATTGGCCAGGTGGAGAAGAATGAGGGGAAGAGGGTTCTAAGCAGAGGAAATAATATGAGCAAAGTAATGGAAGCCCAAAACAGGAAAGTGGTTATATGAGACTGCGATTTGGTGTTAAGAAAGTGGGAAATTCAAGGCAAGGAGTGCTGACAGATGAGTCTAGAGAGGTAACTATGTATTATCATAAAGAACCTACAGCAATAGACCTAGCAAATGGTGGCTTGAATCGGGATCGTGGAAGTAGGAATAGAGGTGAGCACTTCTGCGCATGGAGACCATGATCTATTCATAGCAGCGGTCAGCAGTTCAGTCAGGAAGAGAGGTAGAGGATCAGAATATGCCACCCCAAAGTACGCCACTTTGGCATAAGGATTATTTTGAGCTGAAGACAGTTGAGAAATAGCAGATTCCAAAAAAGCTCTCTCTCATTTGCCTAAAAGCAGGGCTTCAATTTCCATTTGCAAAGGTGTTTCTCTCTCCTATGCCAGGGACAGGAGGACAGCCCTTAGATTCTTGACGGCAGGAGACACCTCTACACTCTTAGGAGCCCAAAGAAGAGCTGAGAAGAATCTGCAGAACAAACCTTTCCTTCCGTTAGTTCCCCCCGTATATTTACCTTCCCACACTTGGCTGCCCCTAAAAGCCTAAACTCCTTTTCCTTTGTCTTGTTACTTCCCTACAAATTTATTGTTTTCAGTTGAGGTGCTGTATAAGCTCCAGTTCTAACCACCTCTTTGAGTCACTCCTCACTGAGTTTCTCCCACGTGTATGAGTGCCGCACC